GAAATTGTTGGGCATAAAACAACACAACAAGTCTGACGGCGATTTCGCCAAAGAAATTGAATCCCTTGCACAACAACTAGAGCTTGCTTACATCTCCGATGGAATGTCGTCAGCGTTGGCAAGAAACTATTCAGCACATTCGGCAGCAAAAGCGACAAGAACCAATGCAAGGTCTGATGAAGTAAAAATGTTAATGAGGGCAGGGCAGTTCTCAACAGTTAGTGACGCAGTCACAAACTCATTGAGTTAGGGGCCGAAAGCTCAGGCACCCTTCAGGTAAACTTTATAAATAATTCATACAGGGGGAACAATTCTAACAGGAGAAATAATTCATTTAGAGGAAATAATTCTTACATAGGTAATAGAAACTATAGAAACCATTACCGAAATAATCGGGGTAGAAACCACAGTAACTATAATAACAGCAACGGCAACCCAAACAGAAACAACGATAACAATAATAGCTATAGGGGCCGTAATAACCATAACAGGAATGTACGCTACACGGAAGCATCGGAAAACACAGAGCACCCCCAGAGTGCCCAACTGGGGAGTGCGCAAAATTAAACACTGCGAACTTATTAAACATCAATTTGTCATTTAGTAACTTCGTCACCGTAAATTCCTCGCTAAATGACTACGAGTCCACCTTTTTAATAGACACAGGCTCGGAAATTAGTATATACAAAACATCGGCAAATGATCAAATTCAAATAAATACAAATCATATCTACAATTTAAAAGGCATAGGAAATGGTTCCATAAAAACCTTAGGTGCCACTACAGCTACACTTTATATAAATAACTCAGAAATCATTCACAACGTCCAAATAGCAGACGAAAATTTTCCAATCCCTTGCGATGGTATTATAGGGTTAGACTTCATAAAACAATTCAATTGTCTATTAGATTACATGTATAATGGTCCAAGTCTATTGATAATACGACCTAACTCTCTGAAAAGTCACTTGGAGCTAGAAATTTTAGAATCACCCACAAAGGGAATACTTAGTTTACCGGCAAGAGCGGAAGTTATTAGGAAGATCCACATAGTTGCAACCGCAGAAAATATGCTAATCCCAAACCAAGAGTTAGAAGAAGGCATAATAATAGCAAATACAATAGTTAACACGAGGAATCCATATGTCAGAATAATAAATACAACAGATAATAATGTTTTTCTTAAACAAAATAACATCAGAACAGAATCCTTGGATGACTACAAGGTGGTTAACATCAGCAAAACAAACGATACTGAAGAGAGAGAGAACACTATATTAAATAAACTAACCCAAAACTGTCCTTTATACCACCGCGATAAATTACTAAAATTATGCTCAGACTATACAGATGTATTCGCTTTAGAGACTGATCCTTGCCCTGTCAACAATTTTTATAAACAAAAATTGCGTTTAAAAGACGAAACACCGGTCTACATTAAAAACTATAGATTGCCTCATAATCATAAACACGAAATCAGAAAACATATAGACAAATTAATTAAAGATGACATAGTTGAACCTTCGGTATCAGAATATAATAGCCCAATTCTTCTTGTACCTAAAAAATCCTTACCAAATTCCTCAGAGAAAAAATGGAGATTAGTAATAGACTATTACTATTATCAACAAAAAATTAGCGTCAGACAAATACCCACTACCTAGAATCGATGATATTCTCGATCAATTGGGTCGTGCCAAATATTTTTCCTGTCTGGATTTAATCTCTGGCTTTCATCAAATAGAATTAGAGGAGAATTCAAGAAACATAACGTCTTTCTCATCCGATCAAGGATCATTTAGATTCAAGCGATTACCATTTGGATAAAAAATTGCACCCAACTCATTCCAACGAATGATGAATATTGCATTTTCCGGCCTTAAGCCGAATAAAACCTTCATTTATATGGATGACTTAATAGTTGTAGGCTGCTCGGAAAATCACATGCTCAAGAATTTAAAATCAGTTTTTGATGTTTGTAAAGCCACAAATCTTAAACTTCACCCAGATAAATGCAAATTCTTTGACTCCCAAGTAACATTTCTCGGACACAAATGCACAGATCAAGGAATCTTGCCAGACGAATCAAAATTCGACAAAATTCTTACCTACCCAAAACCAACAAATGCTGATGAATGCAAAAGATTTGTAGCATTCATTAATTACTATAGAAGATTCATACCGAATTTTTCTATTCATGCAACACATATTACCAAATTAACGAGAAAGAAAACTCCATTCATCTGGACAACCGATTGTGATAATGCATTTGAATACCTGAAAAATTCTTTATTATCACCTAACATACTTCAATATCCCGATTTTGAAAAACCTTTCTGTATAACCACCGATGCAAGCAAAATAGCTTGTGGTGCCGTATTGAGTCAGGATTATAATGGTACACAATTACCTATTGCCTTCGCGTCAAAAACATTCACTAAAGGGGAAGCCAACAAGTCAGTTATCGAGCAAGAACTTACGGCAATCCATTGGGCCATAAATTTTTTCAAGCCGTACATTTATTGTACTAAATTTTTAATAAAAAGTGATCACAAGCCGCTAACACACCTCTTTGCACTAAAGAATCCTTCCTCCAAATTAACAAGAATAAGGCTCGACCTCGAGGAATTCGATTTTGAAATTGAATATATTAAAGGTAAGGACAATTGCGGCGCGGATGCTCTATCTCGCATTGATTTTGGGCAAATTAAGCGACTCAAAGAAGAAAACTCTGCCATAATACAAGTAATCACAAGGTCCAAATCCAAGGATACACACCCTAACACCAAAACCACGGAAAAAGAAAAAGACAACATACAACACGTATACAATAACTATTACAAATCATGAAGTGAAAAAATTACCTCGCCTAACACTTAGGTGCACAACTAATGGAAAATTAAAAGAATCCTCGAAATTATTATTACTCCATGTAAAGAAAGAAATATTTAAATATGATGCTAAAGATATTATTGCTTATGAGAAAATTGCGCTAGAGCAATTCTTTCTCAAACTTGAAAAAGCAGTTGGTAATAATAACTTTACAGGCATAAATATAGCTATCAATGACAATTTGTTTAAACATATAGATATAGAGGAATTCAAAAATGTAGGCAATAAAACTTTAAAGAAGGTAATAATTGGAATAACACCACAAATAACCAAAATAACTTCACAAACGCAAAAAGTAGAAATTCTGAAAAAATATCATGATGACCCTGTATTTGGAGGCCACCCAGGTGTCACACGATTGTTATCAAAAATTAGACGACAGTATACATGGAAAAACATGGCTTCAGACGTGAAGTCTTATGTTAAAAATTGTGAAAGCTGTAATAAAAACAAATCTGGTAAAAATAAAATAGAACCTTTAGTCATAACAGACACACCAGCAACCGCTTTTGACATCGTTCAAATCGATACTGTAGGCCCTCTTCCCAGATCATTCAACGGGAACAAATACGCCCTTACAATAATCTGCGATTTATCAAAGTTTCTCATAACTGTAGCAATACCTAGCAAAGCAGCTAATATAGTAGCCAAAGCTATAGTAGAAAACTGCATTTTAGTTCACGGACCCATTAAACGCATACTAACAGATATGGGTACCGAATACAAGAATCAACTTTTCGAAGAAATATGTAAACTACTGAAGATAGAAAATAAAACAAGCACTCCATATCACCACCAAACACTAGGTACGGTAGAACGTTCACACAGAACATTTAATGAATACATAAGGTCCTATATTTCAATAAATAAGCTACACTGGGACCACTGGCTCAAATATTTCACGTATTGCTATAATACGACGCCCTCAACAACCCATGGTTATATACCATTTGAGCTAGTTTACGGTAAAACTACCACACCTTACGACTTCACATTAAACGGTAAAGTTGATCCAATCTACAATATAGATGACTACAAATCAGAGTTAAAATTCAAACTACAGACTGCTCAAAAACGAGCGACAGATTTACTAGAGAAAGCAAAAGTGAAAACAAAGGAAAATTACGTTAAAAAAGCAAATCCACAAAGTATTCTAGCAAACAACATGGTCTACCTAAAGGATGAAACCGGCCACAAGCTGGACGGCATCTTTAAAGGCCCATATAAAGTTATAGAAACAGACACTCAGAGTAATTGCAAAATCGATATGAACTCAAAAACAACCATTGTGCATAAAAACAGATTAAAATTAGCATAATAAAATTTTAAAACGTATTTTAAGACTATCCTGGCCAGGACTAACACATAAATACATAGATTAAAATTATAAATTGTTAAAGGCAAATACATAAATATTATATATATATACATTATATACAATTAAAAGGAAAAAAGAAAAAAAATTAAAAAAATCTAAATATACAAACACATAAAATTCACAAATACAAACTATGTAAATGTTCCAAATTCAATCTTTTACAATAAGGTCAAAATATAAATAAGTATACCTAAGAAAACAAAAATCTTTTTACAAACTACATATGCAAGTAAACTAAACAATAAAATACATTTGACACCCCGAACAAAATTCCATTGTACAGCATGATCATTCAAATCGTCTCTATTTGTATGATCACGCTTTCCAAACGGGGAAGGTGTAGTGACTTTCGTCAAAAGTAGGTAAACGTGGAAACAATAACCAAACGATAAGCCAAACAGACATCCCTGCCAGCCACGGCTCACCACTTTCCCCTGAAATTCAAACGATTCACCAACACATACCCAACTTTTTTGTCATCTCACCCACACACTTAAAAGTTGTCGAAAACAATTTCCATAAGTAAGAGCAGCGTAGCTAATACGAATTCGCAATCTTATTAGAACTATATGCGTTAGAGCGAGCAAGTGAAAGTAAGGCGAAATTTGGCAGCGAATTTCAAATTTGATCCTAGTAGGCTGCGAAGAAAAATATCAATTTCGCGCGAAATTTTGGAGGTAAGAGGAATTTGTCAATTGTAGTTTTTCTTTTATAAAATATATATTTTATATATCCCAACATCAGGAGCCATCAAAACCCAAACTCAGAAGCCATTAAAACCTTGAAGGTAAAAAAGACTTTAAAGTTTCCCAATGTAACGCCGTTTGGCTGAGATCCAAATTGGTAAATATACCAATTTTCAATAGCAAAGCATTCGCATTTTTAATTTCTAAATTAAATATAACTGATGGAAATGTCCAATATGCGCAACCATGATCAAATGCCGAATTGGAACTTATAGTTTAGAATCCATCACTTATAGTTTAGAAATAAAAGAGGCTGGTGCTTTGCAATATACCAACTTGGAAATCAGCCATTAACAATTGTTAACAGTTTAATTTGATTATAATGTAATTATTTCTTTTAGATTGCCAACATCTGCAAAGCCATCCACAGCACACTGAACACCATTGGTCACCAACAGCTCTCAACATTGTTCGGTGAGTTTTATTGTACAAATCAGTCATGCCCAGCGCAGGGCACTTGCATATGGAATTCTGCCAGCGCAGGGCATTTGCTTATGGAGTTCTGCCGACGTTGGGCATGACTGGTTTAAATATTAAGAAACGCGGTTGCTCCAAGTGCAATGCAAATATGTATGTACTTTTGTATGTTAAAAGTGCAACTAGGTAGATATGTAAACAGCAAAAAGTGTGGTGCAATAAATGTGAAAAGTCCAGTAGAATGTCTGTTTTTCTAAGCGCAACAATATAAAAATCAGTTTCTTTTAATTCCAATTAACAGTAAATTTACTTAATTTGTGCCAACTGAGTTTAATGTAAATTGTGTGAATTATCATTTTGCGGTTGTTCACTCAAGAATTGATGCGTTTTTAAAAACAGACATTTTCGGTCATGAACAATATTTGCATCCGCTGCATTTGCATCAGTTATTCTAGTTGCATCGACCAAATACTGGCTGGATACCTACGTTGTATATGCACATACATATGTGTGGAGATAGTTGCAACTGCATAAGTGTGTAGATATGTATGCAGTTAAACAAAAAGTGAAGTGCAAGTACATTTGTACAAAGCGCAGCTGCATTAACGTACATGTGTACATACATATGTAGGTAAAAAGAGGAAAGTGCAGTGGAAATATGTATATACATATGTACATATGTGCAACATACAATTACCATGTCATGGGGGTGCTATTTTGGACTTAACGCGTTTTGGAAATACGTTTTTCTTTTTGTCTAGGTACGATATGTGCAACATATGTATGTACAATTAGCATACATACGGCACAATATGTAGAGCTACATACCGCCGTTTAAAGTACAAAACCGCGTATCGTCGCTCTGCAAAGCCGCGTAAATTACCTTTTTTGCCAAAAATTGGATTAGCTAACAATAGCTCTTGGCTCAAGCCTTATCCATTCGTTCTGAAATATACTAGCCAGAAATGCGATTGCTTTACAAAAAAGAAAACCATTTTGACATATGAGAGTTTTTACGCTCTGGAATATAATTTATGCAACCTCACATACGCGGTTTTGCATTATCTTGATACGCGGTTTTGTACTTTAAACGACGATATGTGGATACACTTGCCTATGGCCATAATATATAGACGTTTCAATGAAGTGTTTTTTTGGTTTTGTTGCGATATTTTTTATTATATATTATTTTTTATCAAATTTTATTTTTATATTTTCTTTGCAGGTCGTGGAATACAGACAGTAGAAGTCAGCGGAGATTAGATATATATATAAATTTTATCTCTAATTAATTTTATTACTATAATATCTAATATAATAATAATATTATAATAATAGTATTATAATATTATTATTTATATTACTACTTTAATTGCTATTATTATCATTATTAATAGAATTATTATTAGATCGTACCTTTACACCATTATTTATTACGGTATGCATAAAAGAACGCTTTCTAACCTTATAAGTAAGGAAAAAGCTTATTATAAAGCAACAGTTGCGAAGTTTCGTAAACTGAATGAACCGACTTCTGGGTTAGAAAGCGATGATATTCCGTCCACGAGTAGAGAAGCATTTTGCCGCGGAATAAATAGTGATCTAACGTCCAGCACTATGGAAGTGTTTCCTGAATTAGATACCGATGAATATAATAGCGATGATGACAGGTTTTTGTTTGAAGATGTCGAAAGTGATGATAGCACTGAAGAATCTGCAAACAAAAACCTAAGCGAGGAAATTTGTAGGGGGTTAAAAACGTGGGCAATCAAAAATAATATTTCGCAAAATAGCCTAACGGACCTCCTACAAACCTTACATAATGCTGGACTTAACGGGTTACCTTTAACTGCAAGAACCATTTTGGGTACAAGTAGAAAAATAGTTCAAATTCGACCTTTTCCTGAAGGTGAATTTTTGTATTTAGGAATACAATATAATTTTAATTTCAAAGATTTTGATTTTTTAGAAAATACGGAAAGAATTTCAATAGATGTCGGTATAGATGGTTTGAAATTATTTAAAAGCTCTAATAGGGCATTGTGGGCCATTTTGGGGCATGTAGAAGCTTTTCCTAATTCGGTCACATTTACTATTGCCTGCTTCTCAGGAATGAGTAAGCCATCCCATGTTAATAATTTCCTTGCTGAGTTTTGCGAAGAGATAAAAATTCTAAGTCAGAATGGTGTAAGGGTGGGATCTAAGCAGGTTTTAAAAGAATTTAGTGTAAGACTTTTTACATGTGACACGCCAGCCCGCGCCTTTATAACTGGCGTGAAGTCACACACTGGGAAAAACAGCTGCCCTAAATGTCTTCAACAAGGACAGTATTTACAAAGAAGGGTCTGTTTTTCTCAAAACGTAGGAGAATTAAGAACAGATAGTTCGTTTAAAAATAGAGTAGATATAACCTATCATTTAGACGAATTTAGACAGTGTGAAATCTTGCTAGGATCTGTAAATATTGGCATGGTTTCTCAATTTCCGTTAGAACCCATGCATTTAGTTGATTTAGGAGTAACTAAAAAACTACTCCAGTTGCTTATTAAAAGAGGGAACGTAACAAAGATGAATGAAAAAATATTATTTCTGAATAAGTTCGTTCCCTCTGAATTTTCCAGACTCAGTCGAGATCTGCGTGAAATAAGCAACTGGAAGTCGACAGAATACCGGCAATTTTTATTGTACTCGGGGTTGTTTGTTTTGAAAGACTGCATACCGAATAACTTGTATTACCATTTTCTTTTGTTGCATGTCGGTATTCGCCTTCTCTCTTGTGAGAAGTCTTGTCAAGTAGAATCTAATGTCGCTAATGAAATGTTAAAAGAATTTGTAAAGTTGTTTAGTAATTTTTATGGCGAACATTTAATCAGTTTCAATGTCCATGGTCTTTTGCATTTAAGTGATTGCGTTAAACAATTTGGTCCTTTAGACAATTTTTCTGCATATAAATTTGAAAATTATATGCAATATTTAAAAAAAATTATTAATAATCCAAATAAAATATTGCAGCAACTATTTCTAAGAATAGAAGAACGAAGAGATATTACGGATTCTAGCAAAATTACACAAATAGATAAGTTTATTATAAATTGTAAAAAAGAAAAAGATAGTTTCTTCTATAGTAAAAAAACGGGATCCCTAAAAATTGTCAACCAACAAACCCAAACAGACAGTTTTGGCGTTGTAGTTTTGACAAAGGTTGGGGACATTTTTAGGGAGCCCGTGGTGTCCTCATCTGATTTAGGTATTTTTGTAGCTCAAATTATAGATGAAGACATTCAAATTATTAAGAGAGAAGATATAGACCATAAGTATTTTGCTATTCCAGTAGGGAATAAATTTATTTTAATTCCTATGTTACATAACTTATTTTATAATTTTACTTAGGAAGAAATGGAATTTAATTTTATAATTGATGGAGAGGAGGAGCCGGATATCAGTCAGGCAAATGGTAAGAAGAATCAGTATTCATTATATTAGTGAAACTCTCCTAATTGAAACGTTCTCATTGTAGCTGGAGTATCGCGCCGTTTCGACGTGTCCCAGCCTTTCCTCGACCGTATGGCCACCCAACCTGCCGTGGATAATGACTCAGGTACATTAAACTAGCAACATACATATGTTGATTGTATTTTTAATTTACACATAAATTTTATGAAATTCAACAGCGCAACAACAAATTTTGGCTGCCCTTGCAAGAATGGAGACTCGGCAAGAAGAAATAATAAAAAGGCTTTCCGCCGTAGAAAACGCCCTTGCCGAGAAGGTAGGCTTTTTAAATTTAACAAATGTTTAAACTTTGTTTTACACTTTATTTTATTTTCAGATGCCCGAGCGTTGTGAAGTTCAAGCGCAGGGTCAACTGCTGCGTGAATGTAAGGTGCTCTCTGCGAAAACCCACCGCAGTGTAAGCCGAATCACCGGTGACTTGGTAAGTGAAGAGCAAACTTTACTGCAAAGTTTGCTACCAATGTCATCGGAGGGAACACTGCATAAGGTGGAGGAGCACCTTCAAAACAAGGCACACGCTGACGCTATGGTAAGTTACAGTTCTGCTCAACAACGAGTATAGTTTTTTCTTTTATCAAATATATATATGTATATATTTATATGTATAAACTCTAATACATTTCAAGGGGTACAGTGGAGAAAGTGCTGCAGTCGTTATTCAGCGACGAGTTGGTGTGGCTGTACAACTTCGATGGGAAGGCTGGGAAAAAGCCACTAATTAAATTAAAAACTGTGGAGCTAGTTCTCGGTAAGTGTTGTGATATTTAAACAATATTACACTACTAATTTTTTAATACTAACAGCCGCATTTGCAAGTATGCACTCTGACAAAATTTTAGCAATCAAGCACTATGTAGTTTTAAGTCATAATAGATATAAGCAAAATCGAAGAAGATGCCAAAATAGTAATTAATTTTTTCTTATTTTCTCTATAGAGTGCTTCACAATTATACATCACTCACTTATTGAGAAGTTGCGACCAATAATTTGTATATTTTTAAATTTTTTTATGAAAAATTAAGTTCATTCTTTAACAAACACCATATCGACAGCCAGTTCGCCCTATCTTATTTTCAATATATGTACACACATTTTTTCAGTTGAGATACGGAGTTTTTGAACCAAATTCTGAGATAGGGCGTTCAACCGAATTCTGAGAATGGCTGCTTTCGAACCGGCTGTCGATATGGTGTTTGTTAAAGAATGAACTTAATTTTTCATAAAAAAATTAAAAAATATACAAATTATTGGTCGCAACTTCTCAATAAGTGGGTGATGTATAATTGTGAAGCACTCTATATAATTGATTCGTAAATGTAAATATTAAAAAAAATAGCTGTAAATATTAATATACAGTGGTCGAAATAATTTTAAAGATTTAGTCAAAGAATGAATTATATTTTTATAAGAAAATAACCTAAATTAAATACTTACATTACTTTCTTTTTATTTGCTATGTGCTTCGTTAATGTAAATACTAAACAAAAATTTTTCTAACATCATATTTGCTTCCTGAATGTGTTATATAATTTTGTATATTTTAAACTTCTTCACCCTATTTCTGTCCCTTTTTAAAAATATTAATATATTTTTTAAACTTTATTTGAAATGTTTAAATTGGTGTTGGATTAACTTAATTAATAGTATTGTAAATATGAGCATGATTTTATCTAAATAAGCTGATTTTTACTAAACTATAGTCATCTGCTTTTTGTATAAATAAAATCCATTATTTATGAATTATATTTCATTTGAGAAATAATAATTTGTTACTTTATTTTTCAGATATCAGAATCTAACTGGTTGCATCCACAATAATAATTTTACCATTTTATTTTAATTTCAGATTGCTGTGCAAAAGACGTGTTGAAGCATCAGCAGCTACGTTTATAAAAAATATATATTTTAATATATAAATTATTTATTTTTAGCTATTTAAATTTTTTTAATTTTTCGTTTAGATTGTATATATCGGAGTCATTGGATAATGAAGGTCTTCAACATGTTGGATGAAAGGGCAAGGGACAGTCTGACAAAGCATCCTTAGAAATGTCTCGATTCAGACGAGGTAGTTGCTTAATTACTGATGAACTTCAATTTTGCATACTTATAATTGTTTTATTTATTTTTTTAATATTTAGCGGAAACTCATCAAATTGCAATTTAATCTAACTGAGGATGAGGAAAATTACGAATGTTTGCAAGCGCCAGATGAGATAATTGTTTTAGACACTACTGCTGCATCAAGCCAGTCACAAGACAACGCTACAAGCGCCACTATCGAATTCCGAAAATTTGGTTACACATGATGTCAATGTGTTATTCTCGAGCGGCTCCATGGATATAAGTAATTTATGCAACTGGCCGCTAGAAGCTACATATAGTCAAAGTCTATATATAAGTCGGAAAAACGCAATCAAATTTTGCAAAGTTGTAATGAAACTGAATTTTTTTGAACCAGTATAAATGATTTGCAACTGTTAATATACATCAAAAGAAAGGTAAATCGATTACCTTTCTTTTGATTATAACATTGTTAAAATCGCTTAACTTTTTTATAGAAATTTTGCAACTTTTGAAAACGTCTATATATAAGTCGGAAAAACGCAATCAAATTTTGCAAAGTTGTAATGAAACTGAATTTTTTTGAACCAGTATAAATGATTTGCAACTGTTAATATACATCAAAAGAAAGGTAAATCGATTACCTTTCTTTTGATTATAACATTGTTAAAATCGCTTAACTTTTTTATAGGAATTTTGCAACTTTTGAAAACGTCTATATATAAGTCGGAAAAACGCAATCAAATTTTGCAAAATTGTAATGAAACTGAATTTTTGTGAACCATTATAAATGATTTGCAACTTTTAATATATATCAAAAGAAAGATAAATCGATTACCTTTCTTTCGATTATAATACTGTTAAAATCGCTTAAATTTTTTATAGAAATTTTGGAACTTTTGAAAACAGCTATATGCAAACGAGTAGTAGTAATAATAAGCAATTAAGCAACCACATATGTATGTAAAAATATCTTTATTATTAATGTTAATTGTAATTTTTATTCTTAATATTGATTACTAACTATTTATATTAGGTTAACAATGTATTTTGAAAAATAAATTTTGCAAAATAAAAATCAAAAAAAATTTTAAGATTTTTTATTTAAAGTTTTTAAGGTTATTTTGAATTCGCTGTGAAGAGAATGCAACCCTGCGCCAGCTGAAGTGGGAAATGCTAGACGAGTGCAGCTATATGTTTTCCTTACGAAGTATCTGAATGAGTGCGACTGTGATGCAAGGCTCACACGTACAGGGGGAAAGTGGTGACAATCTGCACACCGCCCATACAAATGTCACCAGTTTTGTCACCAGTTTTGAAGTGACCGAAACCCGCGGTTTCACCAGATTTGTCACCACTTTTGGCTGGCAGGGATATGACCGTTCTGGGGTCATAAACCCTTTAACGTTCATTCTTTTAT